AATTCATATGCAATGCAAATGGCCAATGGGTGGGCAGTTGGCCCCTGTGTCAGCCCAAAGTGTACTGTCCCAAAGAGGACATATACTCCCAAATGGACAGTTCGGTTATGATTGAAGAGATCGGAAATGTTTATTACATGAATGAAAGCCATTGGTTCGCAATGAATGACAGTTGGGTTCGCTATACGTGTGGACATGAAAACGATATAATGGTTGGAAAGAGTATCAGGAGTTGTATGAAAAACGGTCACTGGTCTACTAAAGGACCCTATTGCACACAAACAAGTAGACAAACAAGTAGACAAACAAGTAGGTCATTTTTAATTATAAATTAATTAATTTGTGTTTGAGAAAGGTTTAAAGACTTCTAATGTTTTCGTAGAATCCATTTAAAAATGCAAACTTTTGCATTCATTACTATTGTGAAATAAATTCCATACAACTAAATTAAAATTTTAAAATACACACTTATTTTTCATTAATGTGTCTTTTTAAAATTAGTAATTACAAAAAATATAATTATAATTTTTACACACATTTAAAATATAAATTAATTTTAATTTTACCCATTTTTTATAATCCTTTAAGGTTACTTGAGTGAAAATTTTATATAATAATAAATTACAGCTTATTTTTTGCAAATTCATATTTTAATATTTATTGAATAGTATTTGTTTGGAAATATTGAATAATATTGTTTAGAAATTAAATATTTGTATTATCTTCTCCTTGTCCACCCCATATGACGCAGGTATGTCAGGACTGTCCATATCAGGCCTGCTGTTAGCAATATTAGGGACATTCGTAGTGATCGTAGTGATAGTGTTTCGTCGGCACTCACGCCGTGTGAATCTCGAGTTAAGGGAAACCCGTTATGAACTTCAAGAGACTAAAAGATATTTGGAAAATTGCGTCTATGCTAACCCTGATAACTAAATAATTACTATATTCTTATATTATATCAAACTAAATAACAACTATTACTTAAATAATTAATTTGTAAAATCTATTTTCAAATTATTATTTATATAATATCGGACACTTAAGTTTAATGTAAAGAATAAGATAACAAACATTGCTTATAAAATAGTATTGAGTTAGTTTCTTATTATATTAGGTCATACGGAAAGGTTGTTTCTGGCTATAATTTAAATATCTCTGGAATGGCTTAATATTTTCAAAAGCGGTTTGTTTTAATGAATAGCCTAATAATCCGAGAATTTTAGGCACAAAAAATAATTTTTTAATTTTAACGCTTTCTATGTAATTTCGGGACCATCTCCGGGACACCTTTTCCGGTCACTTCGG